GACACTGCGGTTTTTGGTATTTTAGTTAACGTTAAGACTGGGCGTGTAAAAACTCACCGGGTGCCTGCCTTGTCACCCATATCCAGGGGGAATGTGGCCGTCAGAATATAAGGAATCTGTAGCGCTTAAGCGATATGCTGTGCAGTAAAACACATCTAGCGTTATTTTAGCCAGCAGCCTCCGCTAAGCTCAGAGCTCACAGCCGCCAGCAACAGCGAGCAGCTGTGGGGAGCGGAAACAGCAGCGCGGTCTGCAGCAGCGCCTCTGCTGCTGAGATTTCCCTTCATAATAAAATGTATCCTGCACTCTTCTTCTTCTTCTTGAGTTTTATGGCGTTTGGCAAACAAACACTAACATTTACAGAGTTTCAGACAATCTTTTAAATTAGATTTTTAACTTTACATTAACATTAGATTATATTAGTATACATTATCATCCATAGTTATTCTTCTGCAGTTGTATTATAATTATAATACAAGCAACCAAAGCACTCAATTTTTTGTGTGTATTGTAGCGTGGACTACGACTGTAGCCACCAGTTTGCTCTACAGCTATTAATATAGTATCTGCCTGCCTGTCTGTTTGTCTATCTACAAGTGGGGACCAAAGGTCTGAATTAAAAAAAAAACCAAAACATGCATTTTAACCTAGAAATAAATAACAAACTTTTAGAATACTACAGCACTCAAAACAAATGAAAGTCATGTGAAAATGAAGAAAAATTAATAAGAATCGCTGAAGATTCTGCACTATTCTGCACTATTTCTAGCTCACTATTCAAACGTTAGCAATAGCGACCATGTCAAGGTGTGTTTTTTTTTTTGTTCTTTCTCCTTCAAGTGAAGCTCGTCTTCTGACGACTACCAGGTGGATTTGACCTTCTTATCAGGGGCTTTTGCATAACATGTAACACACAACATGTTTCAAAATATGTGTACATAAATGATGCGTACATACATGTAAGAATCAAACACTGGAGATATGTGCTTAATTTCTTGGGCACACATGTGTAATGATTTTATCACGTTTTATGATGTCAAATAATGTATAATGTATGTGGAAGAAACAAAAATGATGCATGTATAAATATTCTTATTTTAAAACAGTATGTAAACAGTAAAAGTAAATGTATTTCATACATGATGAGCTATTTTTATTAGTCTTATGCACAAGTTTGGACACCCAAAAACCAGGATGCTAGCGTAAATGAGTAAAATATATCATCTATATGAACAATGCTTTTTATTATATATATATATATATATATATATATATATATATGGCTGAAATAAGTTAGCATAAATGTCATTAATATGTCCATATGCGTCAAGTATGCTAATACATGTCATATATTTGAAATCCATTTACTGTCATACATCAGATTTCCATATGGGGGCGCACCAAATACTAAAAAAATCTGAAACTCATGTTAAAACACAATACTTTGTATTGAGATTGTTATACTGGTAATATAATTTGTAATGAAAACATCTGCATTAAATTAGAAAACAATGCACAATAGAAGCATGTTCAAAAATCATAACTCTAGTATTGAATACTTGGAATCTGAATTCAAGCTCAAATATTTTAAATTGGCTATTACGAAATTTTAAATTGTTTGCATTCACCTATGTTTCTTAAAGCGGTGCCTGTACCTGAGCCATGTTTTAAATATATTCTTAGATTTAGATTTACCATGTTGGTTTTGCATATACTCTATGTGTGCCTGTATTTTCTGATATACATTTTGCCTCAATCTAAACATAGATTAAATAGCTCCTTTATTAATATCTTTCCACTTTGCTTTGGAGTATGATTTAATTATAGAGAATAGTAGTTATATGGGAACTGTGGGCCAATGACAATGTGCAATATTTTTATATATACATATCTGTTAATGCTGATGTTGATACATAAACATTTATAAAATGTAGAAACAGAGACTAGATCCACCTAGATTAGCATTGAGTAGGAATATAACAGTTATTTCTATAGGATCACAAATGCAATAAAATCAATAAAATGTAGATGTTTCAGTACAGTAGCCCAGCATCGTCTACACGTTCTGCTCTTCAGTAGCAGAAAAAAAGTAAAAGATAAGGAAAACAAATTGTTAACACGATGGTTTACTTGCTTTCTCTTGTCCTCAGCCTGAACTGCTTTTTAAATTAAATAATACAGGGTAACTGGCAAGGGCTGAAGTTTCTTAAAATTCTTAAAATAGTTGGCTCTTCAGGCCGGTATGGCTGCAGGTTTTTAACTTCAACAAAGTGAAAGAGGTTTTCACTCCAACAGAGCAGGAGCGCACCTGATGAAATGCTTGAAGACTAACACTGACTGACAAGTGGAGTCAGGTGTGCTCAGCTCTGTCTTTAGAGCTTCCTCTCTCTCAGTGCATCCTAGAATCTCAAACTTATGCTGCTGAACTCTCTTCTCCAAATCTCTGATCTTCTCCTCCTTCTGACTTTTTCCCATTCCCATCATCTCCTCTGTGTAATTCTTTCTCATGCACTCCTGCCTGGTCTTCTACAACACTCAAAAAGCATTTGTTATAAACACTTTTTTGTTTACCAAGGTGAACTGGGCAAATCCAGAGTCCTGAAGAAAAGTGGCTGGATTCATCTCAGAATAAACAGCTTTGGGATGATGACCTCTGTCTATTCAAGCTGGATTAGTTTTACCTGGAGTTTTAGCATCTGAGGGTAAATAAAGTGATCAGTGAGGAGATCAGATTGGCAGAAATCAGCAACGTCCATAGTTTTACAGTCTAATGGTAATAACTGCAGAGTAAATAACCTAAATGGAGTTTCCTTGGTTATACTAGTCCTGCTCCAATCCACCTCACTATAATGTACTAAAACCTGCAAACAGATATGTCTGTGTGTTGTGTTTTTATTAGGTATTTTATTGAGTACTCTGAATGTCACATTCAGACTTTGATGCTTTAATATAGACTCTCTGTGGTAATTTAGGGAAATGTCACTTTATCCTGTACGATAAAATTACTTACAGCTTGTGTCACAGACCATCTCTGGTGAAATGAGTCCAGCTTAAATAGAGCCTAAGTGTCTCTAAACTTTTGCCAGCCATCATCAATAGTATGGTGAATGATGCTATGTGTCTCACCTTTCTAGTTGATGTCTGACTCTCCCTGTCTTTCTGCCTCCTCCCCTCTTCCAGCTTCCTCTGCCTCTTCTCCATCTTGCTCTCTCTCTCTCTCACTGAAGCTGAGGAATTGGTTGCTCTTCATTCTGTCTTTCTTGTCCTCTGGTCTGATGGGGGAAGATTTTCTTTCTAGGGAGGCCTCATCTTATATTACAAAAAGACAGAAGATGCATGTTTTGATTATTTGGTTGATTTCTTTATTTTTATTTTTTGCCAAATATCACATTCATAAACAGAAGTTTAGTACCTCTACTCCCAAGCTATGCTGTTTTCTTTTAGAATGTATTCACACAGTTAACTTGTATAAAGAACTAAAATTTGAAAAAAAGTAATTTATTGTTAAAAAGATATAAAGAAATATTTCCTAAAACTCTATAAATGTGAACATCTCTTGTTTTTATTCCTCCTCTTTATATGTCTTTCTTTATACATATGCTAACAATCCTCATTGATTTGTCCAATTTTGTCCTCTACATTAATACCTGTTATAAATTCTTATTGAATAATCTCTATTACGTGTGGCCACACCACTTACCCTATGCTTTTCTTGTTTAAACTATGATTATATGCTAGTTGTGCTGTTTTTTACAGTGTAATTATAATTCCTGTGTTTGTGCATGTTCTTATTGTTTCAATAAAAAAAATGCATTTTCTGTGTGAGCGTGCGAATGTAGAGAAAGTCGAGGGGCTTTTATTTTGAAAAGTCACACTGTAGGCTTTAACCCGCGCTAGTTTCAGATCCCAGCCATGTATAGCAGCGCTGAAGAGAAGAGCCAATCAGCGCTGAGGGGAGGGTCTGTGTAGAGGCACGGCCTGAATCCTTTTAACGCTGATCTGAGACCAGCTCTCTCTCTGAACTGCTCCAGCTGATATGTAGTGTCTTGAGTTCTTCACAAGAACCGAGATTTTTTTGCCCGACGGAATACATCATTTCTCTGACTGAGGCTGCAGAGGGACTAGAGGAATATACTGTCAACCTCAATACCACCCATCTTTTACAACTTTATTTTTTTGTTTTCCTTTTTTTCTTCGGCCCTGACTTTTATATAGAACCAAGTGGGACCCCAAGGTAAACTTTCCTCTCCAAATGTGTTCACATCACATACTTGGTTAAAGCCACGAAGATTAAGAAGATTAGAGCTCGCTTTTTCTGTTCCCAGGCTGCTCCAGGATCCTCCGGGCTTTGGCCCTAAAATATGCAGCTTGCCGTAACAGGAACAGTGGTTCATGTTTCAACAGGTAGGTTATTTTGACTTACAACCGTCTTTTATAAGACAAAATGCAAAATATGTTTCCCTGCAACTTTCTGGTACAGTCAGTGTAATGACAATCATAATCATATCAATAAAATACTTGAAAATCAAATATTTGATAACCCATTACGTAGCACATAACTGTCAAAGACAAAGTTAGGCGTGTAGATACACAATACATTTTCAGATATGATACGGTTTCCAATCTTGAGGTAAAGATTCAATTCGATTTTTGTGTTATTAAATTTTTGTTATAATAATGTAATAAAATGATTAATTCATTTAAGAACAAAGTAAAGTGGCATGTTATTGTGCAAAAGAGTGATCTTACAGTACAGTGCTATAAGCTGTAAACAATAAAAAGCCTGAAATGTTTCACTTAAACCCATATATGGCAAATATACAGAAGACACAGGAATATTGACCATACAGTTTGACATTTTATTATGTAATACTTGAAATGTTTTAAATATATATTTTTTTATTATTTATTTTTGAATACTGCCCCAAAATTGGTTTGATTTTTGAATACTATATACTGCAAGTACTAAAACAAGCATTGACATAAGCGTTTTAGGATTTCAGTGTATATTTAAGAGTGAGTGAGTGAGTGAGAGAGAGAGAGAGAGAGAGAGAGTGTTTGTTGAACTGACAGTGAAAACCACCCGTCTCCTGTTAAAGCCTATTCCCCCCTCTGAATACTATTACCCAGAGGTGGGTAGAGTAATCTAAACACACACTGAGGTAAAAGTTATTGTTATTTGAGTGAATTAATGACTCAAGTAGACCTGAAAATTACTTTTCAAAAAACAACTTGAGTACAAAAAAGTGCACAATATCTTATAGAATGTATTAAATGAAAGAATAACCCTCAAAAGACAGCAGTGTGACCAATCGCAAAGCTGTCCAGATGCTGAACCGACAGAGCAGAATGAAATTATACCCAAAAAAGGAAGTAGTTACTCCTGGTTAAAGACTAAAATGGAACTGAATAGAGAGTTTTGAAAAAAAGTAGAGGACATTCCTCTAAGGAATACAGTACATTCCCATAAGAAGTATCAGTGCTATGTTATGACTAAATGTGTTACAAATGGATATTTAGCATTTTGGAATAAAACTCTTTAAGTATTATGGATTGAAAATACTCAGGAAAGTCCATGCAACTGAGTAAATGCAACCAGTTTCTACCCATTTCATGACACATTATAGATGAAAAGAAATAAATCTCATACATAAATCAGGCACATGTGCTGATGCCTGTGTTTATATCCCTTTTAGGAATGCCTGCTCTTGTGCCTGTTGTGCCTACATCATTTTAAAAAGCAGTTATCTACACTCTAAGGACCTTAACAGGGCTTATAGGTTTTGCCTTGTTACATTTTTCCTAAAGGAAGGTTGGGCTGGTTTGCAAATAGCTGCCTCAGGAAAAATGAACTTGTGTATACTTGACAAGTCTCATGATGATGTGTCTGGTGAAGCTGTACTGCATGGTTTACTCAGACTGAAACCAGAAGGCAAGAAAGGAAAGGTGTGCAAGGCATGACAATGATTAAGAGAGGCTGCTCCTTTTTTAAATAGATAGTGTGGTTGTTCTAATGTTGAGAAAGCATCTGAAGACTACGCTGTCTCTCCTCCACCTCAGGCTTTTATACCCCTTAGTCATAAAACTCTGTCATGGCATGTAGATCCTTCTCAGTGTTCTCATCTCAGTAGTTCTGGAAGAACTCTGTAAAAAAAAAGTATGTTAATAATAAAAAGCTTTTAAACTCAGGAATCCATTTTATAAATAGAGCACTACAAACGGCTGTCCACACAGTAAACATAGCTTTTGTGTAAAGGAGTGAGAAGGCAAGTAACCGAAGTGTTTCTGTTCCATTACAGCTGTCGCCAAAACCAATCTGCTGCGGTTACGGAAGGGGGTCAATCAGGGAGTTATCACAGGAAGAAGTTATTAGCAGTGGGACAGTGATTATACGCACTTCCTTTAGAGCAGGAATGGAATGCGTTCTTGCTCCTGTAACTTTAATCTGCTTACACATACAAACATGTAAGTGCCGTAAATTGATTTTGTTGTGCAGAGCAGAAGATTTAACCAAGCAGAGTTAAAACATGCATGTCAAATGTTGCCTGATTGGTCTCAATCATTCCGTAACCTAATTTATCTTTTAAACAGGCCTCAGAGAATCAGGCACCGATCTAATTTTAAGCTGTTATCTCAGTCTCGGCAGACCATGGAGTAGAAAAACAGGGCAAATAAATGTGATATATTTTAGCTGGAGTTTTAGACCAGAAACATTTAAAAGTTTTTCAGGATTTAAATTAAAATTTTTCACAAAAGTAAGATTTTACTATTGATTAAGAGAACGTGTGATGTCAGTTATTTTTCATCTTAGATCTCAAGCCTATTGTGTTGCATTAAATGACTCATATCCTACATTTCATTTTTCCCTGAGATCCACTTGTGGCATTTGTTTGAGTTTGTAATTCATTTTTAAATGGCCATTTTCCAGCCTCTTTGTCTCTTAGAGTTAAACAGGCTGTTTTTGTTACTGTGCCTTTAAGTCTGACATATGTGAATGAGCTCTGTTCTGATTGGCTGATCCATATTGTGCCTTATTCAAAAAGCAGTCCAATCTGAAACACTCCTTATAACTTTGCCATGAATGGGTGGAGCTAAACTACTGTAGACTGAATACAACGATATATGTAAATGCATTTGTTTTTGTGACATCACAAAAACTGGTTGCTTTTTCAGCTTAGTTTCCATGATTAGACTGTATGAACTTGGTCAATTTTGAAACTTTAACAACATTTATGTGCTAGATCAAGCTCTGTTAGATAAACCTTTTTACATAACAGTAAAAAGGAGAAGAAAAACATGTGAAATGGGCCCCTTTAAATGCTATACTTTGGGCCCTGTTTATTTTGTGACCTTTCTTTGGCTTTGTTGAAATTTTGTCTTTCACTCATTGAATAGCTCACTGATATTCACATTTCAACCATGACACAAATTTGAACAGTCTGTTCAGATTGAAACCAGTTGTTTGCTGGCACCTAATTTAAATTAGGCTTAATCTGATTTTCGAATAAAAGGTTTCTTTCACAGTGGTCTCGACTGTGCTCATTCAGAAGTGGCCAAGGCAGCATCCTCTGATAGTCAGCTGACAATAGCCCATCACATGCTCCATCTGGTCTGACATGAGAGCGTTCGGACAAGTGCCCGCTGTGTGGCTGATATGGATGAAAATGGCATGTTATTGTAAATGGACATCAAATTATCCCAACTGATCGAGGCTGCCTCTTTCCAAAGGCCATTGCTTTCAATCTCATTCATGTGACAGTGGGAAAAGCTGGAAATTCTATAGCGAGTACAGTATAAGCAGTCTATCATGGTTGCTGGACTGTTTGTTGGATTAGCCTCTATTGTGTGTCTTGTTTTGTAGCTGCTCAGTGTTTCTTCTCATTTTCCACATTATCCAGATGCACATGGGCAGCACAAACAGATTTGGTACTAGCCCTCAGGGTCTTGCTGAGCCTCAGTGATGCTGCTGCGTCTAATGCTGGTCTGGACCTTTGAGATCTGATCACCATCATTGGCCGGGAACTAGTCCCAGAGGAGTGTGAACACAGGCTGGACAGCTTCAGCCTACCTGCAGAACCAGAGCCACTGACTGTCCATCTGATCTGAAACCTGGGCCTGAAACTCAAGCAGCAGCATGATTGACCTGAGCTACCTGACAGAGGAGGAGCAGGAGATGATCATGGCGGTGCTGAAGAGAGACACTGAGCTGAAAAAAGCAGAAGAGCAACGAATTAAGTGAGTGAAACATCCATGAGGGTGAATTTGATTTCATTTGGTAATGTTTGATGTTTTAGTGATTTTTTTGAGAATTTGTTACACCCATCATAAGCAGAACAGCAAAATGATGGAACTAACTTTAGACTTCTAGAGCCAGTTTCTGAAATTAAGCCTAAGCATAGACTAAATTTTAGGTTTTTGATGGTGAAACACAGTTGACATTGCCGTTTAGCTCAAGACTTGGTTAAATCTATGGCCACAAAACCAACCCCTATGGATTAAAGTCATGAATGGCTGTTTAATTCTTGTTTTTCTAAATAACAGCAGTATGAGTTCTGTCAGACTTTGTCATTTTAATGTGCTCTCTTAAGTGCATAGCAGTGGGTTCTCAATCCTTGATTGTGGCATTAATTAACCAGCACTTGACCACTAATTAATTAATGGACACTACACAATGCAAGTTTTGCGGACTTGGACACCTCTCTGGTGGAAATGTGTAATAGCATGCATCATATGGAAGAACATATTATTATATCAGTTTTGCTTCAGACCCCTCCCCCTTGGGGATGAATCTGATGATTGTGAGAGTGTTTATAGAATATTCAAAGAAAACTTGGTGAAAGACATGTCCTCCAATGATGCAAGTGATGGTTCTACTTTTGCCTTTTTTATTAGTATAATGCTGATTTTGCCTTTGACACGTAAACATCGAGCCAGAGCTTCTTTTTGAGACTGTGTGTGTGACGTTAATATGTAAAGATGTATTATGTGTTCTAAAAAACTTTGGGCCTTATTATTAATGATTTTTGTTTCCTCCTAGCTCAGTAATGCTAGTCCTTTCAATTTTAACAAAAACGCACATAGTGCAGCTTTAATTAAATCAATAAATAAATAAATAAATAGCTAATTGCACATGGATGTAAAATTCCTAGATAGTACCTGGCAATCTAACACTACTTTAACATGATTTATTTGGGTGTATGAACAGATTTCAAACTAATTTGGGAAGTCCCTCACCCAACTAGTTTGGCTTCTTTTAAGAATCACTGCATCCGATGTGTTTTGGAATTGTGTGTGTGTAATTTAGATTTCTGTACTTCCTTATTTTTCTTGCTTGGATGACGTTGTTTACCTCTGAGGCATTTAAGCAGTTTGAGTAATTGCCAGCTCAGCTGCGGATTTGTGGATTGAACATGTGCAAATACAATAGAGTTTAGTAGAGTCTGTTTTCCAAAGCACTCTCACTCTCTTTTGCTCTCTCTTATTCGCTCTCTCGTTCTCTTAGATGTGCTAAAGTTCTTCAAACATGCTCATGTTCAAGTTGTGTCTTGGGTAATTGTTTTGCACTTCAAAGAATGTCTGGAATCTCTCTACACAGATGTCACTGTAAAATGACCTTATTCACTTAGAGGTTAATCTCCAGGAATCAAGTTCTTAACGGTTGCATTTTCTACCTTCATCTTTGTGGGAAAAAATCACCATATCAGACAAGAATACCATAAACAGAGCAGGCTGTTATAGAGCAGGATACAGTGCACTGCAGAACTGTGTATACAAAAATGAACCAGTGCACTTAACTTAATTCATTTATAGCACATTGAATAAACTGCCTGTTGTGTGCATTTTCTTTCAACACTTTTAATGTGATATGTTTATGACTACATGATATGAACGAAATCTAGTCTTGTGATTTAATTGAAACATATTTAATTTTCCTTCAGATATATTTATTATGTATTTGTACATAAATAATTCTGTTTTACTGGTTTTAGCACAGTGCAGCATGTGAAGCGATGAAAAATCACTACTCTTAGCTTTTAATAGTAATGTGGCAGTATTGGTACCTTTTCTTTCTCTGTTCCATCTCATCAAACTTCTGAATAAACAAAACATCATGAACAGGCTGAAACACTCATTCTTGGTTAAGTGTAAATGGGCGGAGCTAAATTGCTGCAGGCTGAATATGTGGATTTATGTAAATGTTGTGGTTTTTGCAACATCACAAAAACAATTACTTCAAAACAAGCTGTTTACGCAGCTTAATTTCCATATATGGACTGTATCGACTGGGTAATAAATGGTACATTTTGAAACTTCAACATGTTTACATACTAAAAAACAAAGAAAATACAGTAACGACGAGCATTTTTTAAAACTATTAATTGAAAGGTACTTTACGGAAAACAAAAGTGTTTTTTCTATGGCAGTGCTCCAAAGATACACTCACTTTGGCTTTTGGGCAACTTTGTTTTTGACTCCATGACGAAACACATAGGTTCAATGTAAACAAACCCCAAATTGTGAGTATAGAGCTACAAACGGCTGTGTAATCTGATCCTTATGTTCTTCAGTATGACCCATTCTGTGGAAAAATACCAAAACTGTGATAAGTGAATCAGTTGAAACATGTTTCTCATGTCCCTCCACCCAGGAAGCTCCAGAAAACAGAGCATGACAAAGGTAAGCTGAAGTACCTGACAGGAGAGTGGTTTTACGAGACCAAGACACGCAGGCACAGAGACAGGATCCACGGCTCCGACATCATTAGAGCCTCCATGAAACACAGGAACCCTGTGACCATACGTGAGTCTGCCAACAGACACATTGACTGGACTCACATTACATACAAGCAAGACTGGCCAATTCTCTCATTACTGCCAGTTTGTTATTGTTGAGAAACCAGCCATCATTTGGTCACATGCGGCCTCTACCTCCATCTCTACACATATCCACTCTCAACATTTCCACCTTTGAAAGCTCCTCAGTGGGGTGGAGGGGGAGTTGACAGGTGGGATGTCTGTAAGCATAAAGTTTAACTTTAGACCCAGGCCCAAAGGAACATCTTAAATGTTTCGTCTGAGTTGAATTTGTCTTTACATTACTCTGACAAAGACAACAGTAAAGACATTTTCGCTGTTTTTGAGCATAAATAGTATGATCTGTTATTTAGGCTGACAACGTCTAATATATTTGAATTTAATGGTGAAAAAATCAATCCAAAATACATTAGTTTAATGCTTGGTGGTACGGAAGAAAATACTAAACATGCTTTTCTCTGAATACGCCTAGTAAGGTGCTCACACTTTTATTGATCTGCTCTTTAGCTAATTAATGCTTCCATTAAAAGTTATTTAGCTTTAAAAGAAAAAGAATTAGTTAATTTGGTCAGTGTCGCTCTAAGGACTGACTACCAACAGCATTTATTTAAACATGTTTGGATTTAACATTATTACAATGCAGTTTCAATTCAAAAGATGTCATTTTTAAAATGTAGCAGTTTTATGCATTTGAAGATTGTAATTCGCTGTTGTCGGACAAAAACCTCATATCTCCAAAATGGTAACTTTACAGTAGAAGGAAAAAAACTACTTTATTTTTAATGTAAGTCAATGGAACCAGAGTTTTTCCAAGTAATTTTGGGTAATTTCTTTTAGTCCATTCATCATGAAATTTACACACAACTTAAAGGGCAACAGATATTTTCAAATTATGTCAAAAACTGAAAAACATCTGTATATACATATACATATAAATATATATATATTAAAATTAAATGCCCATTGGCTATATTAACAGATGGGTGAAGAATATTTTTTCTAAAGTTACTACTTTGGAGAGAAGAGGTCTTCTTACAACAGCTAAGATAATTTGCCTGTGACAAGCCAAACTGTCTCCAAGCATCATACTGAGAAAATAACAGCATTTATTATGTCAGGTTTTGCTTATTTAAGAGGCTGACACATGGTCAAGTGTTTTTTTACAGTAGCAGTAGTATATTTACTTACACAAGAAGGCAAAAGTTTATGGCTATTATTTTATTGGCACAAAGCTGCTGAACTTTGGCCACCACTACGTAATAACCTCTGTGACATTATGTGTGCTTGCTTATAGAAACTTTTGGCTTAGAGAAGTGCCTCGCTGTAAGTCAGTTCTGGCAAAGTCAGTTCTAAGGTTTAATTTAACTCTATTATGCCTTAATTGAACAGGATCAAAGACCACAATTTAACATGACTTGATAAAAAGTTCAGAACTAACAGAATTTTTTATATTACTGGAGAAGTGTAGAAGACACACTGTGGGTTGGATTCCATTGAGTGTGTTTTAATTTTCTGGCTCCACCGAAATGTTTATGTTCGCACATCATTTGGCTCCTGATGTGGCATTTGTTTAGATGGACACAGCTAGGTTTGGCCTGTGTGCGTCTCACTAATTCCGTGTGTGGGTGTATTTTACAGTGGAGGTTTCTGAAATCTGGCCGTCGTCTAGCTTTCTGAACAGTGAGAGCAAGGATGTCTTTATCCCACCAGAACTGTCTGGAATTCTGGATGAATTTCCATCACAGGATAGCAGGTAAACATGCATTTATAGACAGACACACAATTTGGGAAAAAATAAAACCATTTCTGAATGCCACTCTGCACTGTAAGCCCAAATAAGTTCATATAACTTTAATAATTTAAGGTAACCTATCGCCCTAAAAACATTAAGCATTGGTGAACAAACCAGCAGGTTTAAGTTCAGTGTACTTAAGACATTAAACATTGCATGTTAGAATAAAAATATTTTTTGTGTTAGATTAACATAAACGTGTGTTTGTGCAATTCATCAATTCTCATTATTTTAGTTCCAATTTTTAAGTTAGTCAAACCTAAAAATCCCAATTTTATTATATATTTCAATAGGTAATTAAGAATCTTTTTTGATTAAGCAACATTGACCACTTTGCCAAATCCTGACGGATTAACCCTTCGGCTGAATGTGGTCATTCACCAGCACGTGTCTATATTTGGCAGCAAAGAGAACAAAAATTTGCCCTTTCAGCCCACAACACAAGGTCAGGCAGCTGAGTGAAAAATACGGGAAAAGCATTCAGGAGCACATCAGGAAAGGCAGCCTGGTTGGAATGACAACACTCTGATGTTGAGTACAAAAAAGGAAAACAAAAACAGCCTAATATGCAAATAGAGCCAGGAGCCAATGGGAAAGAAGTAAGTTTTACCCAACAAGATCCTGTTAACAAAACAAACATGTCAGTGTATTTCATGTCAACAACTCAGCTTACTTAGTTTCATTTAGTTATACACATTTGTGGAGTAACTTTAGTGAGAGAGAAATGATTAAAACCAACAGCCATTTGGTTGTACGAAATCATCAAACAAAACTTAAAATAGTGAAGTAATAAAAGGGATATATTCAGTATTATGTACAACAGATTTTATTTGAGTTAAAACAAAATATGGGATTACTGTGTGCTTGCTCTGAGAATCACTCAGCACCCCGCCCTCGACACAACATCCGGCCATTAACAAGGCTGGGGACATTGGCACGTTAACAGCAAAACTCAGAATACGCAGAATTTTTCTTATCCTGTTCATGAGCAAAAATCACTTGATTTTCATTATAAGAAAACTCTCCCCCAGTCCAGACTTTCTTTTGCAATTTCTCTGTGCATAAGAACTCTTAATGCACACAAAAACTCTTCCCATGGTTCATGCTTTGCATGTGACATAGAGAGAATTTAATCTCTTTCTTCATACTTGGGAATGTGTGTGAAGGCCTAAGTGGGGAGAGGAGTGTGTGCTGTAGATCAGGGTTTAGCAGGGGAAGCACAGCGCTTTCCCATGTTTTGGGTAGGTGTCACACAAATGGAGAAGAGAAGAGAAGAGAAGAGAAGAGAAAAATAGAATAGAGAAAAAGAGAATAGAGAAAAAGAGAATAGAGTAGAGGACAGGAAAGAAAAGGAGAGGAAAAGAAAGTAGAGTAGAGGAAAAGAAAGGGATGGAAAGGGGAGGAGGGGAAAAACGTGTAAGGGAGGAAAAGAAAGAAAGGAAGATGAAAGGGAAAAAATAAGAGGAAAAGAAAAGAGTAGAGGAGAGGAAAGAATAGGAGAAGCAGAGAAAGGAGATGAGGGGAAGGAGAGGAGAGGAGAAGAGGAGGGGAGAGTAAAAGAAAGTGGTGTAGAAAAAAAGAGTAAAGGAAAGGAAAGAACAGGAGAATAAAAGAAAGAAAAGTAGAGGAGAAGAAAAAGACGGAAAGGAGAAGAGAATAGAAGAAAGAACAATGAGAGGAGAGAAAAAGAAAATGGAAGGGAGGAGAGGAAAGGAAAGAAAATAAGAGGAGAGGCAAAGAAATGAGAGGAAAAGAAAAGAGTAGTGGAGAGGAAAGAAGAGGAGAAGAGAAGGTGAAGGAGAGGAAAGTAAAGTAGGGATGAAGAGAAAGGAGAGGAAGCAAAGTAACAGGAGAGGAGATGAAAGTGGAGGTGAAGAGAGGATGATGATGGAAAGATGAAGGAAAATAAAAAAGAGGAGAAGAAAGGAAAGTAGAAGAGAGATATGGGGAGAGGGAAAGAGGAAAGAAAAGAAGAGGAGTGGAAAAGAAAGGAAAGTAGGGGAGAAGAAAGGAAAGAAAAGAAGAAAAGAAAGGAAAGGAGAGGAGATGTGGAAAGAAAAGGGGAAGAGAATGAGATGAGAGGATGTAGAGTTGTAGTGGTGTAGAGTTGAGGAGAGAGGAGAAGAAAGGATACTAGAGGAGAGGGACAGAAAGGAAAGGAAAAAACAAAAGTGCACAGGAGGTGAAATGAAAAGAGAGGAGAGTAGAAGAGAGTATTGTTTTCATTGTTTGTGAGGTGAATGTGTCGGATTTAGACAGATGGCTAATTTTCCTCTCCCGTCCCTGGACACACTGATGTTTAAAAATATGAACAATATCTCCAAATACAGGCAAAACAAAAAGCCAACAGGGAGCTTTAGGCAGGACATAGTTATAGTTGGATTTAGTTAGTAGCTTCAAGAATTCAGTTTTTCATGCTTCATGCTTTTGTGTTTCTCTTTGTTTTTCTGATATACCATTATGTCCTCAGAACACAGGATAGATACAGACATGTTTTTACCAATTTATTGTTAAAGTTTCTCGAGAAATTCGAAGGCGTAAGCTATGAAAACCAAGCTTTCCAAGATACCGCAGCACAGAACTCTGTTCACATTTCTTTAAACCATTTCTTTTTCTAATTCTGTACATTATTGTGTATGTATCTTTCAACAGGGAGGATCATTATAGACTGGCAGAATCTCCGCAAGGCACACAAACACCTTATGCGCAGCCTCAAATCAAGGTATTGCAATCATATTTAGGTTCCTTTTTTATATTTATAATTCCCTTTTATAAAGGTTTATAATTATTGACATTATTACTGCGATTTGTTGTAGCCTAGACAAAATCCCTTCAACAGTAAGCCTTTAGGTGTAGAATCTCCAAAAAAGACAGATGGATGCTTAACAAGTGGAGCAGGGAAGACACCCTTGGCATCTGCAAAGGTACAGCAGACATGTGCAGACACACTCCGGATACGTGCGGAGCAGCAGCAGCCAGATGCGGAGCCACACAAGGCAACTGCAAAGCCATGCCAAACACCTGCAGAGTCACGCCATACACCTGCTGAGGGTGAGAATCTCAATACCAAGCAGCTGGATAAACATGTTTGTGTAGATGTGTTTCAAACTTTAATAACTCAAACATAGTTGATCGGCCAAGAAATGTTTGACTGATATTATAGAAGTCTGTGTCACCAAAAAAGATTTTGAGTGACAAACTTTTTGTTTTACAGAAATTAAACCTTGTAACTCCAGAGCAAATCACATTATCTCACAATATGCTTTTCTGTGCATATCCTGGATATTGTCAGTGCTTAAAAAACACTGACCAACTGCATGTTTCTTTACGAAGACAGCAAAATCAGTTGTATTTCATTCAATGTAGTACAGTAAAAGGCTGTTAACTGCAAAATACTGATTGCATTCATAGTTTTTTATAGTGGTTTTGAAATATGTCACTACAATTTCTTTTTTTTGCTTGTTCCCATTTATTAAACCTCAGAATAATAGAATATTGTGGTGCATATCTTGTATTCAGATAATGTTTAGAAGTATTGTTATGTTATATTTTTGCAATTTTATCCACCTATGTTCAGACACCAAACATGCCTTGGCTGATCAACTATGTATAAAATAAAGGAAAAAATGTGGAAATGTTATTTTTAGGCCTTATTATTTTTATAGGGGAAGTCCTTTACCTTTCCTACTTTCTGTCTGTTCAAGTTCTCTCAAAAAGAAAGTCTTGTTCAAATTACAGTAATGTATCAACAAAACATAGTAATAGACACTGCCATGTGCCGTGTTGTTATTGTCATTGAGTGTGGTGCCTGCCATGTAGTTCTGACTTGCTATGACACTTCAGTCAGGTCTACTTGTATTAAATTGTGGAAATCAACTGGATCCCCCAATTTACATTACCTAACCTCTACTGGTAAAACTAATCCCGTTTGAATAGTCATTTAGAGGGAGCCCATCTTCAAACAGCATATTTTTTTGGCATTACATGGGATGTGTTTAAATTATTAGGTTTTCTCTGACAGGTGCTTGATAAACAATTGAAAACTAAATAATAATAAATAAATAAATAAATAATTTGTGTCACATCCTTCAATAACCCAGATTTAGATCATATGTATAAGAATATTGTAGCAAGACTCAGTTTGACACATGGCCAGGTAGTCAACTGTGAAAACAACTAAGCATTGAATGCTATAATACTCTCTTGTGTTATAAGCACATAATGAATGTGTTGTTTGTTTACTGGAGTGGACGACGTGAAGATCAGGCACTCAAAGCATTTTCCTTGCACACACAGTAAGTCTGATTGACTGATCCCCATTCAGTGCAGCGTGTGAACCCCGCCTGAGCTTGTTGGTGTTGGTTGTTTAACTCAAGCATGCCCTTTTACGCTTTGCATGATATGTGTCTCTCCTGTTAACTCAAAACCGAACATGGAGAAAAATGATAGTTATCTTAGAAAAGTCCCTGTGAAAGTATTTTAGTTTCATTAGTCTGAGGCCATGCAAATAAAGAGGGTTTTCCTATATCTGTAAGCATGTGAAAGTATAAGATTGCATGAAAACCTGTGAGTCAGAAATTCCAGAGAGGTTGTATCTGTTGATGTTTTTGAGATTGTAGGGGCAGTGAAAGCTGCCAAGTAGTGAAGAGATTATATAGAAAGGCATGTAGTCCTGCACTAAGCTGCCATGCATGACCAGGCTATACAGCATAGTACACTGATGGAATGTTTATCTGCTAATATCAGCTTTAAGTCTTCCAAGGAAGCTGGTACACAGGTCAGTAACCAACTCAGGGACTATCAGCAAAATGTTTTCAGCCTGCGACATGTAATCAGTTACCACAGATAGCAATTTCCCTGTATTTAGAAAAGAGCAGAAAAACAGTCGACTCAAAACACATTCATGATAAAAGCCAAAGTGAATGTGTTTCAGCCAATGAGATGTTTTTCCTGCACCCTCCAGCTGGCTTCTATAATAAATGTCTCAAGTCAAATGTTTTTTGTTCAGCAAGTACATGGGAAGGTGTTGAGATTATTGCCATGGTTATTGACTGCATGTCTGTTAGCAGACTAGAGACTAGGTTGAAAAATGTTGAAGTGTTTGTTTAATTTCTTGAACAACATGACTTTATGTGTCTATGGAATACTCCCATGTCAAAGAGGCTCTTAAAAATGCACATTGTTTTCATTTTCATTTAACCATCCTGTTGTGAGTACATATCCATATGAATTCAATAAGATTTTGAATTCATGTAATTGCAATGTATTTTTAAATTTATTTTCTGTTTGCCCTGCTTGGTTATCCACCCTTTGTTGTTTCAATTTTTTTTTCCAGAGTTGCCTCCACCAAATGAGAGCCCTATTCCCTCTAACTCTAACCAAAATACAGACTCCCCAGAAACCACCTCTTTTACGACCAGACCACAGACCAAAAAGAAACTGCTGCTCTATTCCTCCCATAACTCTGTGATGGACACTAGCAATGACACTGTCGCTAGACAGGACATGTCTCCAATCCCACGGGGCATTCTGAAGTACAGCAGCTCCAGCTGTAGCTTCACTGACTCTCTTTCTCACCGAAACAGCTTCAGCAGCCAGCCCACCTCTCCACTTAGCCCTGAAAACTCTGACAGCTCCCATAGCCCCCCTCTGTCCCCCAGCTCAGAGTTGTCCTCTCCAGGGCTCCTAGATAGAAAGCAGGTACGCTTCTGCCCCATCATCCAGGCCAGAGATACAGGGAGGCTGGAGGTGCAGGATGGCCGAGAGTATGGAGAGCATGGCCTTCTGGACCAAGACTGCACTCCTCCCTTTGAACAGGAGGGGGAGCCAGACACAAATGAATCTAAAAACACCAGCGATCCACTGCTGTTCTGCTATGTATACAATGAGAAAAGCATAGGGGAGACTGACTCAGAGCCACTGATCAGTGCCCAGTCCGCTCCCATAACAAATGAGGCTGAGTCACCCCCTCCTGAGCCCTCCATTTTGAGCAGTGAGAAAGTAGGTGAGTTCCTTGGTTGTGGGAACTGGAGTGATCAGAATGCCTATACAGCAAGCACCATCCAGAGCCCCTTTGGTAAGACTGTTAAATATTCAGTCAAATCAATCTGGCTGTGTATCCAGCAGTCAGTCAATCAATAAGCACAGGATCAATCAACCTACAATTGATCAATATTAGGTAGTAAAGAAATTCAAAATCAGAAACCTATAAATACATGCTACAAAGCCATATTTATGTTTTACATCATATAAATTTCCATTTTATACCATATTCTGCTTGTCTGTCTTGTTTTTTTAAAATACCAAGCTCAGCAGTAAGCTAATAGTGTTTAAGTGGTTTAACAACAATTCTCCCAAAATCCATTCCTCATACTAACTGCTTACCTGGGCATGCAGCAAACATACATGCATAGCACTACTCATGCATGTATGAAGGCAAAGCTTACAAATGGTGATTGGTGAATTGGCACTGCAAGGAATGTGCATCTACAGTACTGTACAAATGTCAAAGACCACCCTCCATTTATTTAATTTCCAATCAAAATGGCTATTAAGAACAAGTTTTTTTTTATTTTCAGCATCAGAAAACTAAACATAATATGAAACTTTCAGTATTTAGTGTCTACACCTTGTTTTTGCTACAGCTTCCATTCTTTTCCAGAGACTTGCTGTCAATTTCTCAAAGAAACCTGCAGGAGTAGTTTTTAAGACCTCCAAAGTTCAGTCTTAGAGGTTGGTTGCATGTTCTGCTTCTCATGATGTAAGTAAAATCAACCACATTCAGTGATGTTGAGGTCTGGACTCTGCGGTGGCAGACCATTGTTCTGAGAACACCAGCAGCTTCTTTGTTTGATTTGAAAAATTCCTTTTCTTCTTCTCCTTACTTCTTGACAGCTACACATCCTTTCAGACCCATAGCATTGAGTTGACTTCTCACAGTTGAAGTTAGAAACACTTGTAGATTTTTTCAGATCTGAAGCAAAAGTGGAGCTTGATTTTCTCGTATTTCTCAAAGATGAAAGCTTTAAGTACCGTACTATGACCGTTTTGGTGGTCTATCAGGTCTCGCATGGTTGTTAGGAGTATCTCTGTATCTTTCAATCATTTTTGAACTGAAGTTTAGGAAACTCTTGTTTTTTCCCTACTTTATCCAAGTGGATTATTTTATATCTAATTTCCTTAGAAATATCTCCTGAAAAATGAATAACTTGAACCTAATGGTTATTTGGACTGAAAATGTAATAAATAAAGGGTGGTTTCTTTTGCTCAGTACTATACTTTGGGATTCTGCAGCTGAATTAAAAATGTTTGCATACTTCATTGTTTACATTATTGAACCAACACATAATCTGAAGATTTAAACACGATGCCACATTTAGAATGCATGACAGAACAGGAGTGTGTTTCCAAGATCAGTTTCCTTTTCTAGCCCTTGATAACTGAGATTAATCTGGACAGTGAGAATAATGATCTTGGATTAGCACACCAAGTGTGACATACTTTTTGGATTCACTTCCTTATATGTGTGTTCTGCAGATCATCGTGAAGATCATGCTGAGCCTCATTCTTCGCAGGTGTCTGAGCCCCCTGCCTCTGTTGTGGAGCAAGGTAAGGCCCTTCACCTTAGCCCAGAGGGCCAGGCCCATACGCTAACAGAGGAGGAGGGCAGCTCCATTGCTAAGGTACTTGAGTGGTTTGGAAGGGTTTCCAAAGACAGCAGCAAAGTGCAGGAAAGACCTGGCTCTCCGGAGGAGGACAAAGAGAACAAAGATGTCCCTGAGAGACCTGAGACTTTAGATACAGAAAATACGTCCCCCACACAAGAAGAGATAAAGGCAAAGCCATCACCAAAGCCCCGGAGAGGGCTGCTTGCACTGTTTTCTAGAGCAGAAACAAAAGCTGACAGTCCTGAAACTGTGATAACTAAAGAAGATGTGGTGCCCCACCCTGATGACAAAAAAGACAACATCATTTCTGAAAACCTGGAAGCTCCTCACACACCTTCAAACTCTGAAGTTAATGACATTTCCGATGTGCAAAGCTCTTCTAAACTGAATGTTTTAACAGAAGAACATGAGGCAAGTGTACTTCTTTCTAAAACAGAAGACAGTGGTACTTTAGATGATGTGGATGATGATGACACCCAACAGAAAGAGAGTCTAGACCAAGGTGAAAGATCACCAAGTCGACTTGCAAGCCTGAAATCTTTCTGGGAGCGAGGGAACAAAGGACCGAAAATACTGAGCATCAAAAAAAGTGCAGATACAAATCAGGGTGAGATGCCTAAACTAAGTGAGGAGGAAAACAAGGGCATGGACCCAAAGCCACCAGGGGTCGGTCCATTAACAGCAAACACATGTTTTGGTAGCAGTCAAGGTCAAGAAGATAAGTGTTCTCCGGAATCACATAAAAGAATGAGAGATGGTGCTGGTGCTTCTGTTATACCATCTCTTGAGGCAAAATCATTTACTTTTGATATTAATCAGACGACACAGGAGCCAGAAGAGCATGGACTTCAAACTGAAATCAAATCTGAGGAGCCACAGAGTTCACCAGTTAAACAGAAAGAACAGGAAGATGAAATTCCTCATCCGGTGCCAACAGTAAGAAAGCCTCTCACTCAGCAAGATACTGAGCCTGCCACCATCAGCAATCTCAAGTCCTTCTGGGAGAGAGAAAGAAGTGGCCCAAAGATAATTGTCAGCACTCCTGAGTCACCAGATGTTCGTGACGGAGCATCTCCGAAAAAACAATCTAAAGAAGTCAGTGAGTCTCCCGTGGATGTGGGTTCCACCAGTCCAGATCCAGTGGTAGGCCCTGAGAGACGGAAGTCTTCTCTGACCAAAGAGGCAGGAATGATCATGATCTCATTGAAAGAGAAGATAGAAAGGAGTCAACGGAAGCAAAGTCCGAGCAAAGTCCCTGTCAAAACTCCTCAAGATGACACTGACAGGATATCTCACAGCACTCACCACATTTCTCCACTCAAGATGCTAAAGGCTGTTTCAGATAAAGGCAAGAAGTGCAGTCCAAGATCATCCCCCATTAGAAATATTAGCTCAGGTGCTCTGGATCATGACCACCAGTCTGCAGATGACAACCTAACAGCAGTCCTAGCTCAGTCCAGAACGCCTAGCCCAAGACACCAACCTAAGGTGCCATCAAGAGATTCATATCCAGTCAAAGAGTCTAGAAAGAATGGGTCACCATTGAGGGCCTTTAGTATAGATATCAATCCAACTGAGGAGATTTCAGCAGAATGTCTGGAAGACACATCCCTTAACAGGGATCAAATAAGATGTCCAGCAGGACAGTCACACACAGACGAATCAAGTCCTATCAGTGATGAAAAGAATCTTACTGAGCAACATCTCAAGGTTACGCCTCAACAGTCTCCATCGTCTCCTGGAAGGTTCCAGTCTTCTGGAGGAATCAGCATAGGTAATATTGGTGGAATACAGATAAGTCCTGTCCGTTCCTCGCCTAGTTTTCAAGGTCAAACCTCAGCCTGGTTGACCTCACCAGAACACAGCAGAAAGACTTCAGATGAAGGTTCAGAAGGAAGTCCAATATTGCTCAAAGAACGAAAACGCTTGGATGATTTCCAGCCAAATATACGTCTAGCCAGGTCATATATTCCTCTGAGTTATCAGCATTACCTGGGCCTACCTGAGTCCACTCACAAATCTGGATGCTCTGACCAGCCAATCAGGCAGGAGTGGATCAGAGTAGAGGTGGGGGAGGGTTCTGAACAGGTGTCCCAGGGCAGGGCGAGTAACGAGAGCTCGCCCTCTCGAAGCTCCCAGCCTGAGTCGGAGGAGATCACCTTTGACTCCTCCAGGAGCGCCTCACCTGAAGCCTGGTCTCAGTCTCGGACAAGTTCAGTCTGTGAGCTCTTCTTTACTTGGTCCAGTCGTGGTTTACTAGAAACAATTTGATAGATTTGTCTGTCCTAACAACGTTCTAATTTTGGTAGAAGCAGGGTTTACTACACAAAATAATTTGTTAAAGGAGATTTTGTGACATTTGGAAACATCTTTATCCAAAGTCACTGATTTGCCTGAAACATTCTGACCTGACTAAGGTCTATATGCCCTGCAGGTAATGTCAAATACTGAAGAGTTCAGTGTTTTTTCTTCAGGCATTTTCATTATTTTGCTCTGTGTAATTTCTTGACATCTTTTAAAACATTTTTAAAACCTTGCTTCTACATCACCAGTGTCTTTCTAACTTTGTCTCTACTTATGTGAAGAAATCAACTAAAACAAGAAAATAATAGGTTTGTTTTGTAAATGAAAAGATTTTACTCCATGTATCGCTTGTGCATTTGTCAGTACATTACAATAACCAATACAGTCAATAACTATGTAGCAGTGTAAACTGCATGCTAATTCTGTTAAAGGGCTCATATCATAGAAAACCAAATTTTACTGTACATTTATGGAAACTGTGCTTCAAAAACAGCCTATTTTGAATGAAACATTTCTGTAAGTTTAAAGTTTCTGTGATTTAAATATATTCCACCTATTTGGCAGTTTAGACCCACCCATTCATACAGAAGTTATAAAGAGTGTTTCAGCTCTGAGTGCTTATTTAATGAGGCACAATACAGGGCAGCCAATCAGAACAGAGTTCATTGATCATATATCAGTGTTAAAGGAATAGAGGGATAAAAAGAGGTTGGAAAATGGTTGTGCAAAATGAATTATGACAATTTTTGGTACATAAAACCACGCAAAAATTACAAGTGCACTTCAGGGGCAAAAATTAAATTACAATAAATACAGAGGATATAAGCCCTTCCAAAAGGTGACAAAATGATCACCAACAAATTCATACTGATACATTATTTTTGTCACAGTAAGTAAATTGCCAGTGAATTTAATGTGATTTTAACCCAACCGAAACCATTTACTTACAATGTAACCTGTGAATCAGTTTCTATCAGCCAGTACTTACGTGAGTTTACTCACTTTTATTTCTAGAGTGTAGATTTCAGGAGTTAAGCTAGCCTGAATTGAATGGTGTAATGCAAAGTGCAGCATGTAACTTGATATAAATTCTGATAGGTGGCAGTGTGGAACCCAGCCCTGTAAGAACAGCTCTGAAGCAAGCAAATGTCAGACCCATTTCAATATCTAAGAGCTTAGAGAACCTGGCAAGTCTGCCCTCACGTGAGTACCCTGATGCCCTGGGATTTACTCTGCTTTATTTTAAATGGCTATTATGCTCTTTGATGTCAAATATACTACTTCCCTTAGGCAACCTGAGCCATTATTCTTTATTAGATCAACTAAAAACACAATGATAATCTCATAATGAGAAATATTACCTGTATTGACTAGATTAGGTGATTTTACTTGCCAAGACTATGTTTTGCAGCCGAGAGCCAGCCTGTATTTCAAAAGATTGCACTGTCATTATGTTATGCTGCAATTAATTTCATATTGTTCTTTTTTAACACTCTGTCAATCAAACCCAAGGAGAAGAAAGACGGAAAAATGAGCCAAGGAGTGACATAACACTGAGCGTAGAAGATGGTAAATATCTAATTCTTCTATATTAGGTTTGTCACTAGATATCTGTGTCCCATTTCCAAGATCAGTCATGACAACTCTAAAAATTTAAAAGAAAAAAGGAATGTAATGTAGGGAACCAATATTTTTACATTTCCTTAGAAGAAAACCAGTTAGTAAACTACTGAAAATTCGTGGTGTCTGTATGTTTTTTAACTTTCTTATATTTTGTGAATATTTCACTAGTCCTGCTGACTTTGAAAATGCTTTAAAAAGCCATGAAAACTTGATGAGAGCTTGCCATTTATGATTAAATGAAGTGATTAATAACAGTTTGGAAATGTAAGCATCTGAAGCTCCAAAAGGAGGTACTCTAGTCATGCAGCTTTGTTGACAGCAGCTTCTGATGTTGAGATTAAGTGCTGTATTTATAAACGAGCCTCAGTGTGTCAGTGTAGTATATCATAGTCATTAGCCTGAAAGGTGAAACCCAGATCAGCATGCTTACACTAAGCTCTTTCATAAATGCCATCCATAAATCTCTCAGAGCTTTAAGGCATGACTGCTGAGCTGTCTTGTTCCCTTTACTGTATCTGCTGTTCCTGGATCAGTGTCTGCAGCCCCCCTCGCCCCCAGCTCCTCTCTCGCTGACCCAGAGCAGATGAAGATGCTGAGCGTGTCTGTGCCTGCCTTCATACAGCAGCAGGTAAACATACCTCTCTCAATGCCCATCTATTGCACCTAATTGTGATTTAATTGAACTTAGGGGTTAACACTTTGCTTGAACCCTGCTGCATAACATTGACATAACCAGCCCATAAACATGTAAGGCAGATGTCATATGCCAGCATGACAGATTTTGTTCAGTGATAGTGTCATATTACCATTACTGGTAATTATTGTGACAGATGCCATAATGTTAGATGTAACGGTAGCTTATGTCACATGCTAATTTTAGCTAAATGTACTCTAGTTAGCCACCATGACATCAAACATTATGACATGCTATGACAACTAATAGCAATAGTAATATGACATTGTTATATTACTTGACAGAATCTGTCATGGCATATGACATGTGCCTTGACATGTTAATGGCATGGCGATGTCAATGTTATGTCACGGCATGTGAAGTGTTGTCGCTTAGTTCCACATATCATTACTGTCATAACTTGTATCTCAGAAATGGATACTTTATTGGAAATGGAAAATATGCTCTTAGTCTTTATTTTAATGCACGTTAAGGTAGCATAATTTTATTCCAAGCTGCTTTTGGACCATTTCTGTTGGCCCACTATTCATGAAATGTTCACAGATTGTAAAAGGCAATTTTCAAATGGTGTTAAAAACAGAAAAGATTTAAGTTTGAAGGTTTTTATACAAAATGCAAACCACAATATGCATGTTAAGTTGGTGAACAGTTTACATACAAAATATCTGTGTTACTGACTACATTCCAACCATTTCTTTAGTTGAAAATATCTTTTTCGATCAGTATTTCTTGTGCAAATTAAACCATATGTTGCCTGCAAGTTGACTATGTGATCTTAAAACATTACAGATGTATAGTGTCTTCACAGGTTTAGTGATGCCTTTAACTGTGCTTACATGTATATAACACCAAACACGTTATGTCGCTCTTCCGGTTTTCACTCAGAAATTTCACAGCAGCTTCGCTAGCCGCATGTGCACGCACTTGTGTTTTACCCTGCACGTTGCTCAGGTCCATGCTCCTTTGTGTTGTAGAGAAACGGCCGAGGAAGTGACTGTACCTCGGTGAACAGTTTCTACTCTGAAAGACAGAGGAAAGACAGCACAAACACTTACCTTAGCACATCCTCTGGCCGTGCCTCCATGTCTTCTGTATGTGCCACCCATTTCTAACACACGTGCAACAAGCAAATTAATTCTGCCTCCTAATTATGTATGTTAACACACATGTGCATGTTGTAATGCATTTGATTCGTTGTCCTGAGTTATGGTTGTCTTGCTTTGTTTGTTTTCAAGTTGTTGTCTTAGTGAATAATTCAGCTGCTTATGTTGAATTTGAAAGGTCAGTGGCAGTGTGATGAGCATTTACAGCACTGACTTTGGCAACGTGGAGGTCAAAGGGACCATTCAGTTCGCCATTAACTACGTACAAAAGCTAGGAGAGTTCCACATCTTCATAGCTCAGTGCAAAGATCTGGCAGTGGCGGAGCCCAAGAGGAACCGTTCTGACCCGTGAGTGTTTCAGTAGAGATTACGATTCCAGAAGCAATATTTGTATTATAATAATCAGCTGATTTACAATCGCTGAATTACAATCAGTTGACCTTGCTAGACTGTAGACTATACTATAGTGGAGGAATGAAGACTTTCTCTGAACCCAGAGGGAACTAACTGAACTAACTAATTGAATGCAGTACATCGTCTGGGAAATTCCATCAAAATATGTGCATTATTTAATGGTAAACAAAGTTATTTGGTTTGATGAGAAATGCCTAATTTTATGGAAACTGTTTTCAGCATTTACAGTGGTGATAAGAACTGGGCGTCCAGAGTGTAATGTTTCTAAAAGCTACCTCACTGAAAGTTATTACACAAAATGTTTCCGAATGGACTGCCTGATGTCTGATTCACTGTTTTAAAGATATTTTCGAGATTTTGAACTAAAACGTTTTTATATTCATTCATAGCTGCAAGGTTGTAAGAAATGTGCATATTGTTATAGTGTTGTAAGAAGGAATAGTCTCCCAAGAAACTATAGATTTATCACTATTTTAGCATTATCAACATATACATATAAAGACTCAGAGGACTTGTGTAAGTTCACTGGTCATTTCAGTGAATATAATTACTATATTGTGTTAAAGACATTGCGACCCCTGGTTACTATCACCACCATTGTAGGGAAATCTCTTAGCTACAGTGCACCATTTCACATCAATACACTCTAAATAATAATGTTTATATCTCAGTGAAACTTTGAGAAGATGGTGGAATATGTGTGAAGCACTTCCTACTGGATCAAACGGAAACAGACTCTTTGCATTCACTTCATGTTTTGCTGTAATTCTTAACCATAATCCTGGGTTATCCATAATTACCCAAGACTAATATTTCAAAAGTAACGTGGCAAAATTATTGGGTTCAAGATTAGAAGCAATCACAAATCCTTGATACAAACAAGAAAATATTTTAGAATTCAGGATTTAATCCAATATTAAAGCTAATGACATTTCCATATTGATTCCAGGTGATGTGGTACTCATATAATGTTCAGACAAATTTGTTGATATGGTCCAGCTGTACTAATCCAGCAATTTATCCCCATCTTTGTGGTTTAGGTATGTTAAATGCTACCTTTTACCAGACAAAGCAAAGCTGGGGAAGAGAAAAACAACGGTGAAGAAGAAGACTCTGAATCCTACTTACAATGAAATCTTACGGGTATGAACTGCAAGATTTTACTGCAGCAATTTGCACAGTTTTAAGTAACTTAAAAATGTGAGACCAAAATGTGCTTGTCTCCATGCAGTATAAAATACCATTGGAGAACCTGAAAGCCCACACTTTAAACCTCTCTGTGTGGCATAATGACACATTTGGGCGGAACAGTTTTCTTGGGGAGGTGGATGTGGATCTGTCAGAGTGGGACTTCAATAACACACACATGATGGACTATGCACTGAAAGGAAGGGTAAGGATTTGTTGATCATTGAACATGAAGATCTGAATCTCAGGTTGTAGTGCTGATGATCTTGTTCTGGTGATTATGTGAAACCACATTTGCTTTGAGGTTTTATGAATGCCAAACATAAAATCACTTTTATGGAACAGGGATGAAATACATCCTCAGTTTCTCTATGTTTGTGTATTGCTTAAATACAGCAGTAGGCTACACATGGATCATATAACGGAAAAAAAGAACTCTCAGAAACAGTGGTTCCTAAATGCAGACATGATGTCACACATCCAAAAAACTTGGCTAAAACATGCTAGTAGAACAGCAGCAAACTGTGTTTTGACCCTGCAGTGTTCACTGGGCTTTACTCAAATAGCTGACTTTGCTAGCTTATATATCTGAGAAACTAATTCTAGCTTAGCAGTGTAGCAGTAAGAAATACTGCAACTAATCTAGCAGCTTTCACACAGTTTTGTGACATGATCTGTGACTAAGTGCATAAATATTAGTATGTGCATTGGAGTAAAAGCATTAACCAGTTGAGGGATCTTCAGCAATCCTCTCTCTGAAAATGAAACTGAGCAGATTTAACTTTTTGGGAAGTGTCCCGCTTCTAAGTTATGTGGAGATTTTAATTGATTCTGCCTCTGAGTTTGACTCTTTGTCTTGACTATAGGTTGTGTGGTTAGAGAGAATGGAGGGTTTTTTTCTAGGCTGAACTCAATCAAAAAGTGGTGGGGCATCGCCCCCATATTTTAGAAATTGGTGGGTCAAAGCTTGCTCGCCCCTAAACAGATCCTGGCTTGGATGTGTGATTCTAGGAAAAACTTTTATTGAAACTTTATATTATGTGGATGTTTGTAATCATTACAAATACCATTTACAAACATAATTTACAAAAGTGGCTCATTAAACAATCATCAATTGAATGGTTGTTTGAGGAACCATAACATTCTGTGGCATTGCTCAAAAGAACCATTTTTGGCACCTTATTTTTAAGATTATACTGTGCCTCATTGTGACCATCCCTGTTAAGAAAAGCATGTTTACATTTTACTTTCAGGTTCTAGCACAGATGAGTCCGAAGCGTGTTAACCACTGTGTGGAAATGAGTGGAGAGATGAGAGTAGCTTTGCGTTTCCTTCAGCAGACCTCTCAAAGTAAGTGATAGGCCTTTAATGGCTGAATGCACGAATGGAATGGAATTCATGAACTCATTATGACATGTTTTATTCACCCAAGTAATATATCTTTGTAAAGGAAGGGTTGTATTGTGATTTTTGTGGTTGTAGGTAAAAAGACACCACAAACTGGTGAGGTACAGATCTGGGTGAAGGAATGTAAAGATCTGCCAGCCAGAGAAGGAGCAATAGACCCCTTTGTCAAATGGTATGTAAATTTCAATTGGAGAGGAAAGAAGTTGCAAGAATTATCAGGCTGTACTGACTTTTTAATTAGTCATCTCGTACTCGAAATATTTTAGGAATTTTCATGACATGGATTGTATGCATATGTGTGTTGCACATGTGTATGGGTCTTTGCAACAGCAGTCGTTCACATACTGTATCTTGTGGTTTTCAGCACAGTGCTCCCAGACACTGCTCGGAAAGGCCGACAGAAAACCCGAGTGGTGAAAAGGACGGCAAACCCAGTGTTTAACCACACTATGGTGTATGATGGCTTCAGGCCAGAAGACCTGAGAGAGGCCTGTGTGGAGCTCACTGTGTGGGACCATGACCGGCTCAGTAACCATTTCATAGGAGGCATAAGGCTCGGCCTAGGAACAGGTGGGAAATAAAGCCATCTGTGCTCACCTCAGATTTATACAAAAATACTTTTAAATGTGTAATTTTTTTTAGAATTAATTTCATGATAAATCTGTCTAAAATCACCAGATTTTAATAATAATAATGATAATAATAATAATAATAATAATAATTTATACCACTGGAAAGAGCACATTTAAATCAGAAAATGTTTCACAATGTTTGACCACTCAGAGAATTCTTTGCTTTTATCTTTCTCCAGGTAAAAGTTATGGTAGTGGGGTAGACTGGATGGACTCTAACTCTTCTGAAGCTGGGCTGTGGAAGAGAATGATTGAATCACAGAATGAATGGGTGGAAGATGTAGTTCCTTTGAGAATGCTGGTTATGGCAAGAACGATGTCCAAATAGTAATGGACCTATTTAGGAAAACATAGCCTGCATAAAAAAAATAAATAACAGACCAAATTGCAGGATATGCTTCTCAATGACAAACATAGACTACTTAATTTGGGATAAAGTCAAATACTAACACTGAATAAGGAAACAGGAGAGCTGCAAACGTGTATATTTCATATATTCTTGTAAAATAAATATATTTTCTGTATTTTGTGCCAAGTTTTAGGATTGCAATTGTGTGCAAAGTGTTGATACATGTGTAAATGATGGGTCTGTATTATGTTAAAAGCCCTGTCAGGAAAGGTTGTGAAGAATGGAAAGGTTTTGGTTTGGTTGTGATTAATTCATGTTAAATCATTTAGGAGAAATGCACAGAAAGTTGTTGTTCAGAGGCCAATTTTATGCACATAAAAAAATGCAATAAACATTAAATGCTGAAGTAACTAAAACATAATATGATGTTCATTCATGATTAAGTTAATAAATGTATTTTTAGAAATGTAAATATGGTTATTACAAGTTTGTTTTCATCAACTTATGTGGACTCAGCTTTATTTTAAGCCCTGTTCCAAATGGTGGCCTTAGCCCTCCGGTCCTACTACACCTAAGTGACGTCCTCAACATGCACATGTAGAAAGCAAGAGACCTTGAGGGCTCTGGGTTTAAAAGTGTGCATTTGGCACAGACTAATGTGATGTGCAGGTTCTGCATGTGTTAGACCCAGTGAGATTATGTTATTTTAGCAGACATAGCTTTGGACTAGGCTTTTTTTTTTTAATCAATTATTTTCTTTAATTCAGTTGAACCAATTCACAAGTCCAAAAGAATCAAGCGTTTTTGAATATCTTTGCAATGTTTTTAAGGCCATCTTAGTCTGAAAACTTATAATAAAATTTGAATAATATGCCTTTTACATGCAAACTTACCACCGAGGTTGGGATGTAATGGAATACAAGTATTGGCAATGTTAAATTATTAAATAAAAAATAAATAACTAAATAGAATTTAACATGAAATTTAAAAAATAATTCAAAAAAGTTAACTCTTTTGAAGTCAATGAATGGTGTGAAGTAAACATGCCCGTTAGACTCTAAAGAGGACCTCCTTTAACGGCTTCTTTACAAACACTGAAGATCCTGCTAAAGCCTGAGTGGATAATAAATCAATATGATGAGCCAGTTATTAATCTCACTAACGTTACTGAGATCATTTGAGGGATGATCAAACTAATAATCTCCTCAATAGTGGACATGTTTGTGAGTGCTATGCTTAGCATTAGGGTTGTACTGGAGAGAAAAAAATTGTTGAGAATTTTCAAAACTTCATTTAAATAATAAGCTACTCTGTGAACCCATGTGCCTCATGCCAGTCAGTTCACTCTATAGCTAATATAACATTAGATAGTGAATAGAGCATGAGTTGAACTGATGTAGCACACGCTGTAAGGAATTTCGTTGTATATGGGGAGGAGACGTGAATAAAGTTGACCTGGGAGTCGATCAGTTTTGAATTACGAGGTTCACTGAATCGGAGAGTTGGAAGAAATCGGTTCGGTAAACGGAATCAATTAGTTTTGAAGAAGATGTTAATTGAATCGGAGAGTTCGAAGGAACCGGCTCGGTAAACTGAATCGAACGTCTCTTCCCTACTACCGTCATTTTAAACGCAGTCTAAATCCCGCGAGAACTGGTGCTGTCGCGCCATTTACACGAGATCTCTCCCTGTACGTTCCTGTTGCGTCGGCTTTGTGAGGCTGGAGCTGCTCCGGTTCGGCGCGCGGAACTTTTCCCTCCAAACAGGCAACGTTACGGCAGAGTGTGGAGAAACTGCAGCTTTACAGTACAACGTGCACGGTAAGTCTGACTGCATTACCGGCAGATACTAAGCGATGTTTGGCGTAATTAGTTTAATAAGTTGCTTTTGAAAAATGCTGCATCATTCCGATCATGGCGCGCGGCCTACAAAGGCGGTTAGCAAAACTAGCATTAGCTAGTTAACTAGCCGAATTTCCTAACATTACTTCACATTCATCAACTCACAATATTAACATGTCTCGGTTTTAACTTTTTTGTTTGATAAAGTTTTGAAACTGTGTCAATGGTTATGTTTTGTCGAGGCGTAAAGCGCTCGTTAGCTAGTTAACTTGGCTAGCTAGCTAACTGTTAGCGTTGCATGGTTAAAGCTGTTCAAAGCCTTTTCTTGGTAGCTAAAATGTGAAGGTTAGCGGACTGTGTTCACTAATGTAGCTGTCAGTAGCGCCTGAGATGTATTGCTGTTTATATGATGGTTAACATGGGAATTTCGTCTAATATTTGGTGCCGTTCCATACTGCGGACTCTAAAGTAGGTTAACTAGCTAGCTAGTTAGCTAGCTAGCTAGTTAGCTAGCTAATAATTTTAGCGACCCATGCGGCTAGCTGAAAAGGCCTGTGAGCGAAAGAAACTCTCAACTAGCCTAGTCAGGTTGTCTAGTCATAGAATAATCTTGAGTAGCAAGCTTCAAATGCACATTAAAGATACGACCTGTTGCTTTGAGCCATGACTAGAAATTTGGATGACTTAATTTATTTGTTATTCTTTTGTAAGTTCTCTAACTTGGCGTGATAATGCTGTATATGTGAAAATGAGGTGCTAAATGTGTAATTTGCGTTTAAATATTTTCTGTTTGTTTTTACAGATCGTCTAAAACAGAATCTAGAGGAGGGTGAGGACAAGCCGGATAATCGGAAAGCAGCAATGATCACCAGAAAAAGAGGAAGAGTCTCCAGTAACAACACTGATGCCATGTATTCGAGTCCTGTAGAGGAATGTGACAGTGCCTTGAAAATCGCTTCTGAAAGTGGGATGTGTGAACAAACCTCACCAGAAAGTGATACAAATGACTGGGGACTAGATGACCTGTTAAGCTCTGATTTCAGCTGGGCTTTAGACAATGATGCACTTACTTCACTTTCGGATATCGGAATGCAAGATCCTGTTATAAGTGCAGAAGAGAGGATGGATCAGGCGTTGAATGTGTCCATTTCCGATCACAGAGGATCAACACAGAGGCAGAAACTTCAAGTTCTCTCCGGCCGCATCAACAAGAATGCCTTGGCAGCGAGAATGAACCGGCTGAGGAAGAAAGAGTATTTGAATGGTTTGGAGCAGCGTGTTGGATCGTTGACGTCTGAAAACCGGCTTCTCAAACAGGAAAACAGCAGCCTGAACAAAAGAGTGGAAGAACTGGAGAATGAGACTAGGTACCTGAGAGCTGTGTTGGCCAATGAGAGCATGTTGGCTCAGCTGTTGTCCAGATTAAGCGGTGTGAACGGCATGAAATTTTCTACCTCACTTTTCCAGGAGTCCAGTGAGAATGACCACGATTATGCCATGCCAAGGAAGAGAGTGAAGGTGGAGGACAAAGGTGCAGCAGGCGGTGTCTGTCTGCATGTGGACAAAGACCACGTCTCTGTGGAATTCTGCACTAAATGTGCAGAGAGTGCAAGCTCTTCGCTTAAAATGTAGGGTCAAGTATCTTACCTTTTCAGCGTTTCCTGAGACTGAACTAAATACATGATGTAATGAACATCGAGGGGACATCACAACAATAGTTGTCAGATGTCAAGAATTAACTGTTTAAGGACTTGAATGGCATGTATATAAAATGTGCTTTGATTACAAGTTACTGCTAAACTTTCTGGTAGTTTTCTTCTAGGTGCTTGGTCTGCCCTGCAGGATGAGCGGGTTTCAGAACAGCCAAGACTACCTGAATCCATGGTAAGGATCAAGATGTAGAAGACTCAGAAATCAGTCTCTGCTGAGATGTTCTGCAGTGCCCTCTGCCAGTTCAAGGCTCAAAATGAACTTGTAAATAGACTTTCCTGTTTGTGAAATGTTTGTTTTTGTTTTGTCAACATTTTGGAACTTTCTGTTTAACAATGAGGATGGTAGTTGTTTGAGTTAAGCAATAAAGAGGGCTAATCAGTAATTATTGAAAATTGTTTCAAATAATGTAAGTAGGTGATGTTTCACAAAGGGTGTTTGTAGACATTAATTGGCAGTGTGAACTAAGGATTGATTAAGAAAGTAGCTTGCTCGTGTTTTGCTAAAATTAAACCCTTTGTGAAACATCACTGTTTTCTTGGAGGATGTTTTTCATGTAGCCCCCTTATTTTTCTTTATGCTAAAGTGGATTTGCTGTGGGGAAAGCTGAAGAATCGGGACCAGCAGCTTGCATCATGGCCTTCTAAATTTAAAAAGGTAGTACAAAGGAGTGTAAGTTAAAGCTTTTACTGGTACTCCATCACACTGCAGTTAAATATGCATCTGCACCATTGTTTATAGATGAGTGTTAGTACATCAAACATTACAGTGAACAGATTTTATATTTAACAGAAAAGCACTTCAGCTTTATCGTCACATGACCAGGAAAAAGGATTTGTTTGGAAATAAATCATCTGTATTTTGTTAAGCGATGCATTGTGTATTGAGATGTATTTGAAACCCAAAGAATGTTTAGTAACTTGGATATCAGTATCTGGAAATAAATCATATTTTTATCATCCACTCCTTTGGGTAATGTACATTGCTTTATCATATTAACCATTCTCCTCTTCTCTTTTTAAACAGCAGTTTCTTCATTCTCTGCAAGGGTCTTATCCTTCTTCTTTTCTAAGTGGATAAAGAGTGGTAAAAAAAAGTCACCTTTCAACTTGAGTGAATACAAACCCTCAAACCCAACATAATATAACTATCTGCCCTGGGTGGGTTAGGGCAGGGGAACCTTGCCCATAAAGGGCTGGTGATGTTCCAGGTATCTGCAAACAATATGAAGCGCATGGCCAGTACAGAACACAGACAAATCAGTTTGGCAGGAGCAAAAGCTCAGGCCCATTTTTGCACTTTGTTCTGATTGTTCTCCGTACTCCCCACAGATTAGTATGGACAGCTTTAAAACAGAAATTGTAAGATGTATTGAGATCAATGCTAGAAATGGGACTGAAATGAGATGATGCTACCATGGTGCACATTAAAGTTGGTTTCAGATTTATAGTCATGGGTTAATGGACTAACTAGCTAACCCTCAGACCAAGATTAATACATTTATTTATAAACATGTCTTTTGGGCCCTCTGTTGGACCTTAAAAAGATACAAGTCTGCAATCTAAAATGGCTGGCTTTAAAGCGACAAGTCAATTACAGCTCCATGGGTCTACAGAGTAAAAAACCCTTTTAATGTTTACAATATGAAAAAAGTCCAGGTTATGTTGTTATACCATTGACTCAGATTTATTCTAACATGTTAAAGTTTTATGAATGAATATGATAGCATTTCAATTTGACAATTTTGACCAAATCACAAACTGATTCTGATAGTATTTTTTAATGCTAAATTCTTATGATTACCTGAGTTTTCTGACAGTTGAAGATTTAAAAATATTTACATTACTTAGTTGCAGTAGTTGACTTTTTGCTGTATTTGCTAGGTGAACTCTAGTCAGCAAGCTTCCTAGGGTACTCATTCCATTCCTCCAGTGTAAGGTTGGGAATGTAGTTTAAAATTAACTGTACTCAGATGTATCAACAATTGTAGTTCTAATAATAACAATAACTACTACAGAATAAATAAGATTAAATTAAAGCAGATAACATATGCATATGCAACATATGCAGTGGGGAAAATAACAGTTGCTGTGTCCCTTGGATGGTGGCACAGAGTCACAGTTTGCAGTAATAGATTTGAAACTTCAAATTCCTCTGTTTTTTCATAATTTGGGGATATGGTTTTTTTCACTTCTTTGATGAAATATCAAAGAAATATATAGTGAAGGAAAAAGTGCAGCTTTGTCTACACCTCACTGCTCACCAGTGATATTGTTAGAGAGGAAATCCAGATGAGAGCCTAGGAAAATATAAATCATTTTGGTGTCCTATAGGTTATTCTGATGGTAGTTTTCTGCTTTGATTGTGCTAAAAGTACTATTTGTAAATTAAAGTATAAAGTAATATTTGTGAATGATGGCCATCCATACTGCTTTTTCTGCTTGAATCAAGTTGTCAAATGCCATATCTGGTATTGCATCTCTAATTGGAGGACCTACAAAAATCCCTTTTGATCTTGGTATCCCTACTACTGAGGAATTTATTCCTAAAATACATGGAGTAATTCATGTTTGCTTAGTTAAATAAATCACAAGCAAAGGCCTTGTTCTATCATAACAGTATATAATGACAGACATTTGCTATAGTTAATGTAGAGCCTACATGGAGACATTATAGGATGTGCTTTCAAATAATGTTTACTTGGTGAGGAGAGAGGAAACATCTAGGGATTTAGAACTTTGTATTGCTAGAGATAAGGGTGTTTCACAATTTCCCATATGCAGTTTAAATGTTTGTGTAGTGAACAGTTGGTGTGAAAGTATTGTGTAGTGTTTTTTTCAGAAGCATTGGAGGAAGGAAGTATAAAACTATTCAAATTTGCACTGGTTTTATAAATTCTATAAATCTTTAATCCATTTTTGTTTACTAAACAATTCCAGGTGTTGCTGTCATGTTGTGGTTATATTATAGAAAACTGCAGATACACAGTGTAGTTTGAAGCTGACATCACAAAGAAAGAAAATGTTAAGGGCCATGACAATTTTTATATTGATCCAGAACAGGTTTATAGTTTCAGTGCTATGAATAGCAAATATAACTATCATTAAATCTCTTTCGGATTTCTTTTAGTTTCTAGTTGCACACAAGATGTGGTTGCAGATTTTGGTTCAGGGATTGTGTGACTGAGTACCACTTAGGTAGATAGGGAACTAAAAAAGGTCTATTTTTACTTGCATTATGTAAAAATCATGTTTATACCCTGGCTCTTGTAGCAGCACTACAAGTGTAGTCCTCAAGCTCCCCAACACTGAGAATTTTTCAGTGGAAGATTAAGGCTAGTCTTAGACTAAAAGAAATACTTAGGAGCAGTTCTTGACCCAAATTGAGTCTAAACTTATACTAAATGTTTTTTAATGATGAACCATTGTGGTTTAGTATAAGATTATGCGCTCAACAAAATGGTATATGTAAGGAGGAGAAATGAAGAGATCACATTTTAATGTTTGTTTTAATGGTAAATAATGGTATCAAAAACAAACAAGTGTTTCTTGGATTAAATAGGACTTTGCCTACAAGAAAAATAATTGTCAAATTTGATATTCCATTGACAACAGCTTTTAGTCTAGGGCATGTTTCACAAAGATGGATTCCTGAGTTTTGCCAGGTAACTTAAGCCTAAGGTCAAGCCTGTCTAATCGGAAAAGAGCTGAGGGACGTTCTTGTTAGACCATTCTCAAAATTGGGCTTAAGTTATCTGGCTAACTCAGAAATCCTATTACTCCCCTAGTTTGATGGCTTAGTCATGAAGCTCCTCGCTGTCTGAATCTGGTAATTTAAGCATCTTCAGATAAATATCAAAGTGCTTAGAGCTTAGGTAAGTGCCAAAGAGAGCCTGTAGTAGCAGTACGGCATACATTTTCTGCACAATGGGTTTGCTCAGATTCTTCCAGAAGCGTAGTATGTTTCCCTTCTCTGGCATTGGAGTGCTGTTGTACCTAAAAGGCAATTGGGGTGACGTTTAAACATGAACGTGTTACTGTTTTTTGTATGTCTAAATAATGCTAGTGTAAGGTAAAGACAGACCACATACCTGGCTGCAAGTCCGGCGTTTACAGGTAATGCCAACAAAATGGGGTATACACCACCACCAACCACACCCACTAAAGCACCTCTAATCAGGACACAAGTTGGGCAGTTCAGGTCTCCTGCAATGGGAAAAGCAGTCACAACACTTCACAACTCTTATTTGGGGGACTCGTATCTTTATCTTAAGATCTTACCTGATAACAAAGGATTGCTGACAGCTGCAGTGTATAATGCCACAGTTGTCAGAAAAGGGAGAACTGCCATTGGAAGACTGGAGGTAAATCTTCCTTGAGTGACATTGAGTGCACGTCGATAAAAACTATTTGCAATCAACCCAGCAAAGCCAGCATTACCACCCAAATAGATCGGGCCATATGCAAAGAATTTTCTGTTGGGGGGGGGAAAAAGTAAAATGAATTCGTACTGGAATAGTCACAAGACAGACGTTTGTTTTTATTCACTATTTTTATATCACATTTACAGTTTAAACAAGTAAAAATCTTGTTAGAACTACTAAAAGCATGAAATTTGATGTTAAAAACAGCTGTAAAATCAAAATTATACATTTAGTAGTAGAAATTGTTTTACCATGTAAAATTAAAGTTCTCAGATAACAATTCATGGCTTTTTCCACTTGATTTTAATAAGGATTTTTTTCCCTAATATGTGCTCATTCAATTTCAGCAAGAGATTTAAATTTTTATATGGCATAATTGATTTCTTTCTGGTGAAAATGTTGAAACATGTTGAAAATAAATTAGTACATTTTGGACCTATTCTTAATAGTAGTGAAAAAGGTTGTTATAAAAATGACAATTTTAAATTAAATTTCTATCAAACCACTGTATTAAAATCTAACGTATAGGTTATTGGTAATGACGGAAGAAGAGGTTTCATGTTCATACCTGTCAAAGTCGGGTAGCCTTTCGAATTTTTTGGAGAGCATTTCCATAAAGGCGCCTCTGGACATGAGCTGGCCTTGACCGGTGTCTTTTAGCGACATTTTGTTTTGTTCATGTGCGCTACTGAAGAAAAAGAAAAATAATCAGATAATGCAGCTACTTACGTCTTAACAGAAGATTTCGACGACAAGACGAGCGTTTATTTTGCATAAAACAACTGCAAAATCTAACATGACCTACAACAGAAAGGAGTACCATCGGAGCAGTTCCTGACAAAAACACTGCACACTTTCCCCCCAAACACGGCTTGCATTACAGCTACATCGCATACGCAGCTTTGTGCCACGCTGCATTATCACTTACCTTGTAGTTCCTTCAAAACATAAACATAAATCTAGCGATAACTCTCCTTAATTCAATATCCCCCTCAACACAAACAGGGCGCAGCCATGTCTCACCACATGTTACCACGAACCTTCACCCCACGAGATTCAGGAACGAAAAGGCGCCTCGGATTGGCCAATTGCCCCGCAAGCGGGTGGAATCAGGGCACGCCATTGGCGATTGCAGTTGTCAATCAAATCGGGGCGTGTAGCAACCCACCCTCTGGTTGCTAAGGCGAAACTGCTGTTGCTGCTGCTGCTGCTGCTGCTATTGCTGCACTCGCCGTACAGAGTCTCCACATAGCCAGCCTGGACAGAGATGCCCTGAAGCCAAACAGAGACAGACAGCTGTATGACGGGACACATGTAGAGTGAACTGTAGTCACCGGACGTTTTAAGAGGCTCTTTTTTTCATAACTGCTCGGAATGACTGGAATTTAGGGGTGTAATTGGAGTGTAGAGGGCCACGCGTTTTCACTCCGCTAGCCTCAACTTGCAGGTGTTTTCCGACAGGCGTCGCACCGACAAGCTGCTGTTTGCTCGGTGGCATTAGCCCTGAACAGCAAGAGGGTTTAATAATTCAGCTATTCGGAAACATTTTTTTTTTTACCTCATACACTCCGGTTATTGCGGTTGCCAACGTTAAATGCTGTTGTTCAACTTCGCAGCCCACTGTTTTTATCGTGCACTATACTGCTGTTACCTGACTGAAATTAGCCTTCTCCGGCTTAACATTGTTAAGAATGAAAGCTAGTGAATGTGGAGTGTCTGCAGAGCCTGTAAGTAAAGTCGACTCTGATACTTTTCTTTTGAAATATACACGGTTCGTGCTTTGATAACAATTTGTTGTTTGTTAGTGTCTAATAGTCCATACTGTAAGCCATAACTACAAACATACAGCCCAGTTTTGGTTTTTAAAAAAACTTACGTCGGTTATTCGAACTAGCCGGAGCGGAAGAAAAATATTAAAACCCAGTCAAATATAGTCCTGGCTCCAGTAAGTAACAATATTTCCTTCCAAAATTGACAGTAATAGTATAAAAAATAAAGATTTGTATAGTGCTGTGTAATACCTCTGTAATACTATAGGTTTAATCCCTGAGTAAATGTAGTAGCTTGCTGTCTAATAATAATCTGTAATACTTGTGTAGCTACCTATAGTGAACCACATAGTAATTGTCCAAACTTACTATAAGATTGTTATAGTTACCCTATAAGATTACTAAAGAGCTTTTTCATAAGAGTTCAATTTGATGAAATTGTCAGAATTGGTCAATTCATGTTCAAGCCATATGGATCTATGTAAAACCAAAGGAACAGCAGCTTAAAGCTGCCATACAGCGAGTGGTGGGCATCTTCAGAAGTAGCCTCTTTCAGGCTCTCATAGGTGAGTCTTCATGTTTGCTGCGAGAGTGCCCAAACGCAGAGAGGTTGTTTTTGCTTCCAGGAGAAATGGGGTCAGATGTAATGGGCCTGAATAATCTGTAATACTCGTGTAGTTACCTATAGTGAACCACATAGTAGTTGTCCAAACTTACTATAAGATTGTTATAGTTACCCTATAAGATTACTGAAGAGCTTTTTCATAAGAGTGCAATTTGATGAAATTGTCAGAATTGGTCAATTCATGTTCAAGCCATATGGATCTATGTGAATCCAAGAGTGAATAATAGTCCAAATAGTCTGCAAAAAAGTTAAATTGAAGATCTAGGTACGCTGTAAATTCGGATCTCCCTGCACCTCTAATATTCGTTTGACCTGCAACTGATGTCAGTGTCCATTTTAAATCTTCTCTCATTGCATTATCATGCATGCATGACCCAGGAGGCGATGGACTCTTGTCTGCCTTGAAAATCACAGACATTTGCAATGAAGAGGATAACCAAAGGTCTTGTAGATTTGGTGATGGTGATCGAATACCATCTAAAAGTTGAAGAGCTGTAAACAAACTGAAGGAAAAGTGGAACACGTGTGGAGTGTGGCACCATGGCTTTTCCAAGTACACCCTATTCACACATGGGAAATATGGCCCGTTTTCCTTAACAAAACATGCTTCACTTTCACGGACTGAATCACACACAGGTGGATCGTCCTGCGTATCGGATTATGAGTTCTCTTCGTTCAAAGCTGATACTCAGCAGTCATGCAGCTAGAGCCTGAGGTTGCTTTCACAAGCCCTTTCCGTTGCTGTTATGACAGCTCCATTGCTTTGGCCTGTTGGATCTCAAAGCTGCAAGCTGGCGCTGGAGAGCTAAATGGCCAGTAAGGCACTGCTTTAGCAGTTTAACAGGACTTTTTTTTTTTGACACCCCCAGAGCCCCTCAGATGAAGTGGGAACGTTTGTGTCTTGGTCTCTTCACTGGCAATCCCACACGGATCTAGAGAAGCAAGTATGCCTTTAAGAAGAAGAGGTGAGGAGAAAAAGGTCCCACATTACTGGGTCTTACTTTTATCCACTCGAAACCTTGTGTTTTCAGTGCATAACAAATGTTAAACTGATGTCTTTACACTAACAAGACATAGTAAACAATCTAGCAAATTTAGATTGTAGCTTGGATTTTGGGATGGCCTTTTCAGTCATAATTATTGGATTCATAATCACATCTGTGTCGTACATTGGTGGAAATGGACCACATAGTGTAATTACAGGCTACAGTATAGTTAGGTAGTATAAATAGACTCCAGTATGGACTGCACTGTTTGTCCTCAGATGATCTCAGACACAATGTAGTGATGGTTCAGATGCAACACATTTAACTGATTGTCAAATTTTGTGTTGTGTTGTTGTGCAGTGAGCTTCATGTTTTATATGTCAAGACTGCCTCTGTTTAAAAGCCTGTGTCAAGGGGAAAGTTTCACTGATAAGCACATAGACGTTAGAAACAAAAAGTGCTTTCTGATTTGGGATAAATTTAAATTTGCCCAGCAATAGTCATGTGAAATCTAGAAATGAAGAACTGCCCACAGGCTGGTAGACGGGACCAAAACCTTGATACTAAGCTGTCTTAGACACTAAACACAACATGCATCAAAAACATAACAATGCACCACTTCTTTGATAATGAGAAAGCATATCTACTCCATATAAATGACAAAACAGTGTTGCATTATATCATATAAGTGCTATAATGAATACAGTAAAAGAAGAAAAGAAGCTTTTCATATTTTATGAACTTCTCCTGCCATTTTCTGTGTCAACAGTGTAATTAAATAATGAGATTATTGTATGTTTGTATGTTATTTTTTCTTTTACACTCTTAAAAAATAAATGTGACAAGAAGAGTTATTTGGAGTGATTCCACTGAAGAACTAGTTTTGGTTTCCTAAAAAACGTATCAGTGGATGTTTTTTGAAAAGAAAAAAAATTAAGCCACTCAACTGAAAGGGCCCTCTGGCAAGTATGATGCTCATTCAGTCTTATTTTACAAAGATACTAACATGATGTGCCTGTCCTCGCAGATACAGCCAGAGCTTTAGGGCTGCTGGAGGACTACTGCTCCAAGCTGAAGAAACCAGAGGAGCAGCAGCTCAAAGCTGCCATTCAGCGAGTGGTGGGCATCTTCAGAAGTAGCCTCTTTCAGGCTCTCATAGGTGAGTCTTCACATGTTTGCTGTGAGAATGCCCAAACGCAGAGAGGTTGTTTTTGCTTCCAGCAGAAATGGGATCAGATGTAATGGGCCTGAAGACATGTTGTGCTTTGTTCAGAGCACAAAAAACTTCTCCCATCGATTTTCACACTGTGGTTTATGTAACACAAAACCTTGCTGGTTTGTCAGAGTTCATTGTCTTATTAATGTGTTGATTCTTTCAATGTGTTATTTGCTGTTGTCGCATAAGCTCTGGGCACAGTTAGTTCATACTGAAGCATTGGGCTCATTGTGCAGGTTTGGGCCTTTTCCGTTATTTTTAGCCTTGCTGATGTGGCAGGAGATGGGGTGCCGAGTCTCTGGTCTTTTTCACGTGCTTCACTAAATCTTTCTTTCACAGGGCTTTGTTGGGTGTAAAAGCACAAAAGGAACAAGACCTTAGATGCCCGTGAATTACCCTTGAGTCTTTTTAGTCTGTTGTGTGGGTTTTTGTCCGAACATTTGCTTTTCATTCTTTTTTCTAGTTTGTTCTATCTTCAAGGTCATTTGAAGTTCTGTGACAAAACATAACAAAAGCTTTTAGTGTGAAACTAAAATCTAAGGGCCTGTTTCCCACACTGAGATTAGACCAAAAGCTGGAATTATGAATTTCTTAAACCCTGCAACATAACATTGGGAAAAACATCCAGATGTCAGCAATATAACAGTGTCATGTTACCATTACCATTAATCGTCATGACAAATGTCATAATATTAGATGTCTTGACAACCTATATCACAAGTGACACTTAACGGTAAGGGTAACATTACACTGTTATATTACTGGACATAGTCTGTTTGACAACTGATGACAGCATATGACATCTGCCACAACATGTTTATGGCATGGTTATGTGGCTGGGTTCAAGTAAATTGTCACCAGATTCCAAGTGTTACAGTTTCCTAAACATTAAGTTTAGTCCTGGATCAAATTTGAGATGTAAAATAAATAAAAGATTCTTTAATTTGTTTAATTTATTTGACTACTTATTGACACTGGCTTAGCTGGCGAGGTGAACCGGTTAACACATAAGACTGATGTGTTTGGACTTACCTCTCTCTATCTCTCATCTTTGCATAGATGCAAGCAATGGACTCAAAAATTATTACGCAATGAGAATTGTCATTTCTCTGACAAGCTGCCTCGCTCATTAGAGTTTCTAATTGATTATGACTCACATCCAGTCCTTATCTTGATCTCTGGTGTTATGCAGAATAAGCTTCATTTGAACAATTAGAAATAAAATTCGGGTGTGATCAGAATGGAGGAGCTTAAAGATATGTTAGAGACCCTTCTAATCTAACAGGTCTTTTGACTGTGGCTGTTGCTCCTGTGCTCTGTGTTTGAGAGGACTGGACATTGTCATTGTGGCAGACACAGAATTACTTCAGTGCATTATGCAGGTAGCCTCTGTCTCTGGCTTACGTTACTCTGTTGGCCTACATGGACACGATTTAGTGCCTTATATACATCTGTGCATGTTTTAGCATGCAGCCTTCAAACTGTGGCCATAGATCCAATCTATGCATTGCTGAAGCTTCTTCTAAATGGAATTAAAATAGAGATTAAGTTAGATACTCCTTTGCTAAAGTAGAAGCTGCAGTACTCTTAATGCATTGTGATGTTGGGGGCCTTTCAGGAATATTTTAATAGGAGATTATATTTCTGATGTTGTACTAGGCATGTAGACCGTTTAAGTGGTCCATGATGTCTCAGCAGATGTTGTATAGTATACACACATTGCATTATGCTGACGTACATGAAGTCATGCAAATGAAAATCAGCACGTATTATTGCTCTCTAGGTCTCACCATAGAGATTATGCATAGAAAACTATATTTTCTCCTGCTTCATTGTTTCTGAAGACTGATGATGGATAAAGCTTCTGCATAACTGATGATGGATAAAGCTTCTGCATAGCATGGATAAAATACATTGACATTTTATTGCTATATATTGTGATTGCAGTGAGCTGTGTAAGTGTTAAAGCAGGGAAGGTTAAAAACATTCTGTGAATATTTAATAAATGGCACACAGAGTTTCTGTGGTTCATTTTGTGAGTAAAGTCATAACTTAGAATTCTTAGTGCAGACACACAATGCAAGATTTTCAAATGGAGTTCATTGTATTTTCACCTTTTCTGATATAATGTTTAATATGCATAAATGTAACCCCAGGTTACGACAAAAACACTGTACATAGGTCTGTGCGAAGTGGCCACTTACTGTCAGTATTTGTTTAAAAAAGACTGGTGGTTTGATAAATGTACTTTTATGTCTAAGTAATGCAATTATTTGTACATTTCACATAAATATATCAAATATTCATCAATGTGTTTTCTGATATTAGTGGTCATTTTACATTCATTAGTTTCATAGCAGTGAAACTGCAGGATGGGCTGAATATTTTGTCCATAGCACACATTCCCACAAAAGGTAGCCACTCCCTTTTTGTCCTCTGAGTAGAACAAATGAACTTCCCTTCTTTGGAGATTCAGGATTTTCTGAGGTCATTAACAGCATACAGACCTGTGTAACCATCAGTGTGCTAGAGTTTATATTGGAATCAGAAAATTTTGAATCAAATCAATAAGTGGTTCTGATGGACAGCCAGTTTAGCCTGGGGGGCGTGGCCATTCAGAACAACAAGCACAGAGCTCCACGGGTACCACCATGGCAATAGTGAAAGAGACTTAAACATGTAAATAATTGTTGTGCAGTTGTGTTGTCTTTATATGTGTTGCTTGTGATGTTCTGTGCCAGGCTGTGGGGCTGGTTGGGTGATCACCATGGACTGGAAAAGTGTGGCTGTTCATGACCTGCCTCCTTTCTGGACTTGTTAGCTAGCAGTGAGCGGTGGACTTCTCCTGCTGCTGTGTAAACAAAACAAGCACTCGTTCAAAGCACTGTGTTTCCCACGTCTTCTCCTTTTATGCCTACAGCACTGTACTTTAAATATTTTACATGCCTTTTTTGGAAAGTGAATCGTTAATCAGCATTTATACAGGCGAGTAATGAGGGATAGAGTAGCTTGTGTGTTGTGCACTTGTGTGTTTTTTGTAATTAGGTTTATAGCAGCGTGGTTAAGTCACCCACTCTGCAAGTGGAAGACTGGGGTGCGAAGGCACCAGCACTCTAATATTAGACATAGCCCCTAATGCTACATTCCTTTCAATCTCATTATGTCAGTCTGGTGCTGTGCACACACAATGTAGTTTGACCTGTTCTGTCTTTGTAGCTCTTAAGGATGTGTTAGCAACAGCAACTTTTAGAGGTGGGCAATATGATGATGTTTTCAGTATCACATTAAGTCATAATATGCTTTTCTGAGTACGCTGTGGATGTTGTGTGACTTTAAAGAACACTGACCAACTGTGTGTTTCATTACAAAGAGAGAACATTTAGCCCTTTTTATTGAATTTACTGCAGTGTAACATGGGAAACATTGAATAAAAATCATTGTGCTTAGTTTTTCATTTTCTATGCATGTTCTTTTTGGTCTGTTACAACTTATCAAACCTCAGATAAACTAAATATCGTAATGCATATTGTTTATTGAGAAAATGTTTTGAAGTATAGTAATACTATATATTTGCCATATCAGCCACTGCTGGCATCCACAATGCTTTTCTTCGGATTGTCATCTATGCAGGAGATTACTCTCTGCTAAGGGGAAGAGAGAATAATCCAGCACGTCGATTCATACGCATGACTGTCAGTAGCATCTCCAACTCTTCTTCTCCTTCCCAGTTAGTCTGACTCCTTAAGCATAGTCGCGTCACATCGACCTTTAAGCTTGCAGCTTTAAAACTGTGTTAAAGATTTTCTAGATCTGTCTGACTGTGAGCTCTCACTTATTGATTGTCAATAAAGCTCCATTAAACAATAATGGGACAGTAGTGCTTCCTGAAATAGCAGTAATCATCTTATGAGGCATTAGAGGCAGAGTAATCTGGTCAGGGTGTGTACTGATGAAGCCCCATCGCAACTAAAGTGGAGCTGCTGCTTAGCCACTTAAGCCATTCACCACTGACATACACATACACACACACAGAGTAAGTGAGAGCTCATTCAATGACACACGCATACACACACCCTTGCTTAGTGTTGTACATGTCGTACCGGGGGGTTTTCAAAAGTTTAAACACCCCCAGTTAAATTACTTGTGATGGTGATTTTCTAAGGAAGAATAAGTTAATACCCTCTACCAGGAAAAACCTAAATACGGCATTTTTTCAAATATGCCATTCAGTAAACGGTAATTTCACTCGGGCTGCCCAAACTTTTGCGTATGACTGTGTGTACGCACACAGGCACATACAGATAGTGTTCAGTGACAAACAAACATATGCTCTTACCCACAAGTGATGAGTCAGGTGCAAATGACTGTCCTGTTTACTATTACTGAATGAGTAAGTGTTTCATATTGAGTGAATCTGTGCTTATGGTGTGGTTGTGTGTGAATAATGTATTATCTGTATGTACGTGCAAGAGCACCACGAGAGTTACTGGCACTCTCTTTGGTAAAGGTAGGATTTCTCTCACGTTCAGTGTATGAGCTGGAAGCGACCATATACATGAGTGAATGAATGTATCCATTAATTAATGTTTGTGTGAATGAGGGCTCACATGTGTCATGCTGCACATGTTCACTGTAATTTCAATTGATTTGCTTTAGCCTTAGGTCAGAGTTGGGGAATTGATTTTAGAGAGGGCAATTCTATTGGCTTAGTTCCTAATGTAACAAGACCTCTAAATGTACTGTGTTTCAGACCATCATTTGAATGTGAAGTTGCCTTCAAGCACATATTTTTAAACCTGTAGTTTTGCAATCTGTTGTACTGTAAAATTCCATAAAATTTATAGCTCTTCCTAATCCATCTATGTGATTTGCACAGTTTTTCTGGAGCTGGTTTTACACGGTTAAACTTTCATGCCTAAATTTTATTTAAGTTGCATAATATA